TATATATATAATATTCTGTCTGTGTATATGCCTGCAGGCCAGAAGAGGGCATCAGACCCCATTGTAGATGGTTGTGAGCCACCATGTGGTTGCTGGGAATTGAACTCAGGACCTTTGGAAGAGCAGGCAATGTTCTTAACCTCTGAGCCATCTCTCCAGCCCCAACTTGGCCTTTTTTTAAAAAACAAAAGCCATTCATCTGTATTTGGAGGGAATGGACACATGCTTTGATGTGTATTGGGCAGAGAACAACTTGTGGGAGTCAGATTTTCTTTCACTGTGACTCCCAGGAATTGAATTCAGGTTCTTAAGCTTGGTGATAAAATTGGATGAGCCATCTTGGTGGTCTCTGACTTGTCCTTTTGAATGAGTAAAGTCTCTGGAAAACCTCACATTACCTCAGTGTTGTCCTGACCCTGTACCAGCTGTAACTAGGTCTTAAAGAGAAGTATGGGTACAGGGTAAGGCCTCATCTGCCCTGGCAATAAGCCACTTTTGATGTAGCAGTGGGTAGAGTTAACCTACCCAGAGACTCTAATAAATGTGCAAGCAGTGGTCTCACACTTCTAGATTTTACCCAAGCAGCTTTTCTAGCAGAGTTTATTTCTCAAATGCACAAGAAGTTCTTAAGAACCCTAATATGGTAAGGTGCAGGGGCATGTGCCTATAATCTCGGCACTCTTTAGTCAGAAACAGGAAGATGAGGAGTTCAGTGCTAGCCTGGACTACATGAGACTGTCTCAGACATACAAATAGGTATACATGATCACTCATGCCTGTAATCCTTGTACCTAGGAGGCTGAGATAGGAGCCTGGGAGTTGGAGGCCAGCCTGGGTTAACTTAGTGAGTTCAAGGCTGTAATTACAAAGGTCCAGGACTATATCAAAAAAACACCCAAACAAAACCTCTAACCTGTGTTATGTGCATATATGTGTGAGCACATGCTTGTACAGTGCTGGGCCACCGAGAGATAGCTTTGGCCTGAGCAGGACTGTAGCCCCACAAATACTCATGTTGCTTAGTGAGGAGGGGCTCAGCCTCCTGAGGTACCGCCTCAATCCATATACACACACCCTGAATATGGCTCTAGTGTAGACGGGTGGATGTTCCTCTCCTGCGGCATCTGGAATCTGTCCCAGCTTGTGAGCTTGTGCTCCAGCAGCTGGCCGGTGGTAGTTTCTGGCCATGTACAGTCTCTTGTTGTCATGAGAAAAGAGAGAGAGAAATACCCTTTTTGCTAAATGCCAGTAAAGGGCTTTGTCTTGCACCTGTACTTATAAAGGGTGAGATTTATTGGTCTTTTTGTGTGAGAAGAAAGAGTGAGTCTGGGTATCAGATTGCAGACCAAAGACAAGTGCTTATGTAATCAACAAACCGGCTTGGTGTCGGATGCGATTGTGTTGGAGATAAACTGTGAAAGGAGAAGGCCTGGCCGCTGACGTGCTGTTGGCACTGAGTTTCCTGGGCTGCCTCCTGGAGTTGCTACTGTTTCAGATAAAGCCAGCTCATCCCTGGACAAAGCCCTCGTGTAGGTTGGGGTGTTGGAACCAATAGTATGACCAGTCAGGTCAAAAGTACCCGCCTGTGGTTTCCGTCTGGAGAAGTGGGAGTTAATCTGTAATTCCTCAGTGAAAGGAGCCAGAGAACACACATTAATTCTTCCTCCCACCTCTCCTACCTTAAGTGGTTAAGGCCTCTGAGCCCCCTTTAGCCTGCGAGCCCTGGTTCTCAGCTTAACAAATACTTGGCTCTGCTCTAGTACCTTTCATTGTAAGGATATGAAAGCCCTTTTGCAAACATATACTAATCTAAGTAAGGATGGACTTAAAACCACAGCAGGAAAGATTTAAAGTTGGCCTAAGATTGAACTTCCCAGTTAATTTTATCAAGGACAGGGACTAACTTTTTCAGTTTTAGCCCCCTTCATCCAGTGTACCTTGGCAGAGCTAGTAAGAGGTGGCTCATTCTTTGGGTGATGAATCTATCCCTCCAAGAACTCTCTCAGTCCCCTAAGGGCTAGGAGGCTTCCCTTAGGAGGCTGTGTCTAGTTGAACTATTGTTGAAGCCTTTGTCTCTGATACTGACTTTAGTTTCAAAGGACTTCATTGGTGAACCACACTGCCTGGCCACCAGTGGAAATGTTTGTCATCTAGGAAGCATGGTGAGCACAGTTGACCTCCATGTGGGGACAGGTGGGCCTGGCTTGCAGTGAGGAGTCCTACAGCCCTCTAGTAGAACACCTGTGTGGCCCCTGATTTTCTTTTTTGGTGACTCTGTGTGTGTGTGGTGTGTGTGTGTGTGTGTGTGGTGCTAAAGTTTAAATCCAAGGCTTTGAGTGTGCTAAGCAAGTGCTGTGCTGCTAGACTATGGGTGTAGTGTGTTTCTTACGCACATCTGGTTTTCCCAGGGCCTCGGTTCTTGCTCTGTGCCTTTGTCTGCACGTGTAAGACTTTCTGAAGCCTCCAGTGTTGAACTTCTCTGAACTCCTGTGGGTAGAACCAGAGGAGGGGCCTGGCACTCATACTAGATGCAGACTGGTGCTTGGACCCTGGGGCTTCCAGAAGTGAGAGTGGCTATGGGCCTTTCTACCACAGCCTTGACCCAACCCATCCCTCTACCCTGGAAGAATTTAGTGGGAACGAACAAGGCTATGGTAAACAGCTGTAGGCCCTGGTTGTCAGTCTATCTTCTGGAAAGTGGACCTGAAGTTGAGATTGAGAGTTTCTCCCCGAGTCTTAGTCCCTGTGTGTCTGACAAAAAATGCAGAACAATTTTTTGTCTGCTCTGGGTGCTACCCGGGCTGGGCATATGAGGGCACTGTGGTGACAAGGGCAAATTCCAAGATGGCAAGGCTTTTATGTTCCTGTGCAGACCCCTGCTGCTTTGGCACATAGTAGGTGCCAGGAGAATGAACAAGAGGAACGCTCTGTTGTCAAAACCTCCCTCCCATGCAGGCTGCCTCACCTCCCTCGCGCTGTAGCAGGAGACCAGTCTTTTCTACTTTTTGACTCAGGCCCTCCCTCTGCTGGGCAGTTCTTTGGTCTCCCGAGCAAGGAAAGGGTGTGGAGGTGCCAGCCGGGTGGGCATGCTGTGGGTTAAAGCCTTGCGAAACAACAGTGTAGTTAATCTTTCTAATTTATTTTCCTTTTAGACCATGGGAAGTCTGTAGGCAGCAGCTGTTACCCAATTAAAATACAGATTAATATAAAAACAGTTTCTGGAATATAAAATAGAGTGGCTGTGTCCTTACACTTCCTTAAAATACCACCTAATAATGACTTGATGAACTACAGAAACCCACCTAGAGGAACTCAGCATTCTTAAAATGAAAATTTCTTCCCTAAAAGGTGTGTATTACCATTCCATGTAAGTCACTATGAGAAAATAACCTTCCCTCTTAGAGCCAGCACTTTCTGCGAGTTGGGTATTTGGTATTCATTAAATGTAATTATAGTTTAATTGGAGTTTTAGGCCCCTTCCCCCACTTCAACAAAAAAGTTGTTTCCAAGCCAGCCCGACATACTTCTCTTCGTGAAACTAGCCAAGGACATGATGGCCTTGTGGTTTCTAGCTAGTGTCTGACACAGGACCTCAGGCCTCAGATACTGATAGGAAGTCTATGCTTACTCTGTGCTTGGGGGATATTTTTACTCTAGAAATAATAAAGCAAAACAAACTTGTTTAAAGCTAGGCCTGACCTGGGCACTGCCTATACCTGTGAGTCAGTCCTTAGGCCAGAGTCTATACAATAGGCCTTTTCATCTCTGTCTCCCCACTGCTCATAGGTGGCCTTCTAGCTTGGCTAGATGGCGTTGAGAACTGAGGTGTGCGGATTTCTGAGGAGCTTCACTGTGTTTGGGGAAGTGCTGGATTAACAGGCTCAGAGAAATGGACGACTCAAACCCCAAGTGTGCCAGGTGCCACGGGAACTTTTGTGAACCTTGTGTCTAATGTGCCTTAAGACTAATTTGTGGAGACTTATTGCACCTGGTGAATACAAAAGACATGTAAGATTAAAAGAAAAATTCCTCCCAAATAAAAGTTTAAACAAGCATGGAGCCTGTCCTGCTGTTAGCCTGGGTATGCAGGCCCATCTCAGGCGAGGCTGCTGTTGGGATGTTCATATAGCATCCTCAGACATGATCTCAAGCTCCTGGCCTGGCTCTGACCTTGAAGCAGTGAGGATTCAACCCTCACATTGGGAGGAGGAAGAGAGGTAACAGAATGGACTTCCAGCATCTTGGTTTTCTATCCAAAGACTGTTTTTCTTTGCTTACAGCTCACCGGGATCATTCAAGCCATGGTGGATGGCCAGCCAAGGCTGCAGCAAGTGCTGGAGGTAGGTTGAACGACCTTTAATTCCTGACCTCTGACCTCTTCCTGCTGCCTTTCTTTCCCTCCCCTCCAGAGAATGTAGCCGTATAATTTGACTATGATTATGGCTTGATTAGAATAACATTTGCTGTCACATCAGTGACATGCTGTTGAGAGTATTGAACCATTGATCTGTCATCTCCAGCTGTTCCCGTCAGGGTTACTGACAAGATGTCCAAGTGCTGCCAGGAGTCAGGCAGAGCCCCTCCTTTCCTGGCCTGTGGCCCTGTACAGGAGGCCTGCGCTGGGTGGGCTGGGGCAGGGGAGCTGCTTTGCAGCCTTATGGGATTAGCCTCAGGGACTGGAGGTGTTTTTGTTTAGCTTTGGTGTTGGCTTCTTGTGGCATGTGAGCACTTCATTAACTCACCCAGAACTCCCATCAATGGCTTTTGTTTGCTGTCAGCTCCTCAAGGAGCTGCAGCCGGCTGCGTGCCCCACTGCAGCTTGCTGCGGGATGCGATGTGCCTGTCGGGTGCAGAGGCTGCACTGGGTAATGATTCCTAATCAGAATAATTACAACCATTGCCTATGTGAGGGAAATCAAATTAAAGACTTTAGAACTCTTGGCAGAGACCACACTTCTTGGGTATTCTCCTCAGGGAATTGGGAAAGGTTAAGGCGCTGCTTCCTGTACTCCAGCTTGGGGGGAATAAGGAAGAGGCTATGCTTGGTCTCAGCCTCCCTCCCCTCAACCCCTCCAGCCTCAGGATTTTCTAAGAAAAAAGGTTCATTCTCAGCCCTGCTCTGTAGAGGAGGCAGACAGCAGCAAGCCTGTAGATTTCACTGGGTGCTTTATTTGTTTTTAAGACTCATAAATCCAAAGCTTAGACCTTATCAGTGTTCAGGAGGAATAGCAAGGCTCATTGACATTGGAGGTGTACAGCAAAAAAGTGGAGTTATGGCATCAAAAGGGAAACTTCTCCCCTCAGCCATGAATCCTGTCCCCCGAGGGAGCATTGTGCCCTGAACATCCTGGACCCATCAGGATAGAACAGGTCTCAAAGGCAGGCTCAGCTTACCTCAGTGGCAGTGGGGACTCCACATCCCTGGAGGTCCAGACATGTCAGCTCAGTTTTGGCCATGGTGAGGACACTTGCAGTAGATGGCAGAAGGGAGGGGAAGGTAACTCCTATTTGCCTCCCTGGTTTACTGCCCTTTTGAGAGGTAGTCCATTGCTAGGACTGATGGTTGCACTCCTTGCCAACAGCACCCCCAACCACCCTTGCTCTAAGGGAGAATAGAGGAGTGACAGTGTTCCCCAGGAATGTCTGTTGCTGGGGTCCTGACAGAGTGTTCTGGGTCAACTCCAAATCAGGGTCATTAAAGTAATGGTTTGAGTTGAGGGAAGATGTGTTCAGAAGACACCTTCCTGAAGTAGGCTGTTTAGGATGTTCTCAAATTCATCCACGCCTGGGACTTTTAGTTGAGAAGGGAAGATTTCCAGCATCAACCCGAGTAGAGTTTCTGGAGGACAAGGACACCTTACTGGTCCTATTAGTCTTGAGTCAGTCACCCCATACCCCGCCCAGCCCATGCGCAAGGCTGAGTTACACCCAAGTCAGTCTCTCTATTTATGACTCCAAGTTCCCTTGACTGAAAATTGGCCTTGGATCAGTGCAGAGACAGTTCATCTGCAGTGACAGGAGGAAGACACAGGGGATATTAAATGTGGGTGGCAAGAATAAGTTTCCCTCTGCTGTTTCTATTATTTTAGTGAATCAGGTCATCATCACGTACTGAAAAGAAAAGAAAGCACTAGGCTTACAGAACTAAACTGTGAATTCTTGTCCCAACCAAAGCAGCCAGCAAGATGCTTACCAGACTCATTTGTTTGGAGTAGAGCTCAGGCTGGGCTCACTACTCTGCCAGGGATGAGAGGGGCTGCCCAATGGATGAGTTGTCGTATGGCTCCTATCGCTTCTCTTCATTTAGGCAGAACAGGGGAGACCAGGCCTGAGTGTCTGGGCAGACTCACAGTGAAAGATGCTCACCAAGTTTCTGCCACATGGTGGAGTGTGAGTACCTCTTGGGCAAAGGTGATCATGCTGGCTGAGTCCTTCTGACAGTCCTGTCCTGTTCTCCTCTCTTTCCCCAGTGTGAGATGGGATGTTAGCATCCTACCATGTGGGACACTTACTTGAGTGTATAGAGTCAGCCACCTAATGCAAGGTTTTAGGGATTTCAGAAGCTCTGAATTGATCTTATCTCTTCTCTGGAATGAAATCTGTCTTTTCTTTAGGTGACCTTGGGTAAAGTTGTAATGGTGTGTGTCTTCACATGTGTGTACATGTGTATAAGGGATTAAGCCAGATTGCTGAGGGAGACATGTGGCAGTGGAATACCCAGCCTCACTGTTTAGGAGGTTCCCGGACTGGGGAAGATTGGTAGGCAGAGATACAGATTATGAAGAGGGTTTAGAGACTGTGTGATCTACACAGTGTGTACCAGGGAGCAGCTCTCACATTCTGGGTCCTGGCCTCCCATGGAACGTGAGTGGTTTTTTAGTCTTCAGCGTCTCAGAAGTGCCAGCGGAGCTAGCCACACCTGCTTGGTGGGGTAGTCTTCATTGGAGCCATGTGTGCTCTCAGTTACTGCTTATCTCACAGCCCCTCTGCAGTCTGGTCTAACTGGGCTTCTCACCTTTTTAGCACTGTAGGCTTTGCTCTCACTAAACTTCCATCTGTTGATGTCCTCGGTCATCAAATATCTGTTGTTTTGAGACGGGGTCTACTGTATAGCTCAGGCTGGTTTTTGAATTGTCTATATAGCTCAGACTGCCTCAAACTTGCAATCCTCAACACTGTAGCCTCCAAACTGCTGGGATCACAGATGTGTGCTATTGTTCCTGGCAACACATTTGTATGGCTTTAAGCCCGGGTCTGGGTTTGGGATTAGGACAGTGAATGAAGCGGACACCTCGCTGCTGCTCCTTGCATTTCTCCAGTCTGCTAGGGAAGACAGACTTTAACTAACAGTCACTTCTATACACAGTCATTACACCTCCCCGTACTGTTGCCAGGAGTGTTCCTTCTACTTGGGTCTTCCTGCAGCAGTCCAGCCACTTTCCCATCTCCCCTTCTCTTCTCTTAGCCTCCTATCTATTGTAGGGGAGGCATTTGACACATTATCACATTTAATTCTCAGAACAACTCGGTAAGGATTGTCATCTTAGTCTGTTTTATAGGTAAAGGAAACTGGGGTTCAGTGGTGTTAAATGACTTTTAAATGACTTCGAGTCAGCAACATAATCAGGATAAGGAAAAGCCAAGGTTTGGAACCTAGATGTGTGTTACTTTCAATTCTGTGTTTCTAACTACTGTATGATAGAGACTTAAAAAATAATCCTCCCATGCAAGTAGAAGCCATGGTCTGATTGGCTGCACTCCCTCCCTGTGCCTGGAATCGTCTGAAAAATAGGCAATGCTTCATGAATTCTTTATGATAATTCTCTTGTTATATACCGATGCTCATGTTTGTACTCTGGTGTGAGTGCAAACAGTAAAACCAGCTGGAGGCATAAGGAGAAGGACTTAGGTGTGCTCAGGAATGATTTCTTTCCCTGTATAGCACTTGAGCACAGTCCTCAAAATACTCTGCTAAATTTGAACCCTTGACTGGAAAAGGAAAAATGCAAAATAGAGCCTGTTTCTAGACTTTCAGCAACTAGAGCAGACAGCATTGCCTCACTGCTGGGAGGGTCTCCAGCCCATCAGTGGGACCTCCTTTGGAGGGAAAGGGCTCTGTCTTCACTTGGTGAATAACTAGGTTCATCAGCACAGTAAGTGTGAAACAGCAGCAGAGTGAACGAGGCTATAGATAACATCCTGCTATGGCTTCTTTCTTACCCTTAGCTTATGGCCCAGGATATCCTGTGCTTGTTGCCTTTGTGTGACAGGCAAGGAAAGACAGTCAAGCCTGAGAAGGGTGTTTGGACTGTCAATTGGGATCCTGGGTAGGCTGCCACACATCGAAGGGTAGAGGGCTCCCTCTCTCACCTCACACAAAGGAGTCATCCTTGAAGAACCTCTGTAGTCCAGAACCAAGCCAGGGCTGAGAGCACAGCCCAGCTTGATGAGATTCCCATTCCTCCTGCTCTTGTAACAAGCGGCTTATCTGTGTGTCACTGTTGGGGCTATTCATAGGCTCAGAAGAAGGACAATCTCATCTGTTCTTGTGTACTTTCCAGAGGGTCGATGAGTGGATGGCGAAGGAAGGCCTCTTAGATCCAAACGTCAAGTCAATTTTTGTCACCTGCGGAGACTGGGACTTGAAAGTCATGTGAGTATGCAAAGGGCTTCTTTGCTGCAGGGCTTGGCATCTAAGGGACCAGGCATTGCCTTTTAGGGCTTAAATATTCAAGCCTGCTGGGCAGCAGGGGTCTGGGCCTTTGAGGTCACCAGGTTAGAGGAAGGCTGGGAGCTGTGACTTCTAGGCATCTCTGCAACAGGGAAGGGACAAGTTAGGGCCTCTAAGGACTGCTGTTGTTGAGTCTTCCTGTCTTTGACAAGTCTTGCTGCTCTCTGCAGCCCTTCTAATTGCTGGGCTACATGTTATTGATACAGAAGGAGGGCATTAAGAGAGGATTTGTGGGGAGGGAAGGATATATTTGGTGTTTCCAGACAGGATTTCTCTGTTTAACAGCCCTGGCTGTCCTAGAACTCACTTTGTAGACCAGGCTGAGCTCAGAATCACAGAGATCTGCCTGTTTCTGCCTTTCAAGTACTGGAATTAAAGGTGTGTACTGCTACCATCGGCTGTTTTTTTTGTTTTGTTTTAAATCTTTTAAATGGAAAAAAACTATTTTACTATTTGGAGTGCTCTGAAATAAGAACTCATTCATCAATACTGTGAAGTAGGTACTGAAATACTGTTCATATTTCTATTTTATAGTGAAAGATAATTAAGGCACAGAGAAGTTAAGTAACTTTCCTAAGGCCACACAGCCAGGATTTAGACCCAGCAATTGGTCCCGTGATCCTTTCTCTTAGCTGTTACTATGCTGCCCTGTTATCTGCATTGTGAGACCCTGGTTATCCAGCCGAGAGCCTGGTGGTCCTGATGGGAGAGGACTGCTTCTGGGAAGCTACCCAAGTTCCTCCTCTCTCTTCCTTTGTCGTCCCCCGTTCCCCGCTTCTTCTTTGTCTTCTGATCCTGTCCTATCTGGTTGTGGGAGACAAGACAGGCCCCTTTGCTGGGTTGACACCTGTGCTTCTCTTGTCTGTCCTCATGGACACCTGTCTTCCGACAGCCCCTGGAAGTGGGGCACTGTTTGCTGAGGATGGGTAGAATCAATATCACTGTGTTCTTTGTGACTGAAGCAGCAGCAGGCATTCTCTCTCTCTCTCTCTCTCTCTCTCTCTCTCTCTCTCTCTCTCGGAGGGGGAGCAGTAGGTGGAGGGGGTGTTGGTAGGAGTGAGGTATAGTGACTTAGCGACTCTTTACTGCCAAATCAAGTAACACATTCTCACCAGGGTCTCTGTGCTTGTAGACCCTGGTTATTAAGATGAGCTTAGGCCCCTAGGTGGGTGTCAAGCCTGCTTTTGGACCTTAGACTTGTGAGGGAGTCAGGAAGAATAATCTCCAGGGCACATGGGCACACAGCACCTGAGTGTTCCACCCTTTTGGCTGTGTATAGACACTAGCTGCACACCTCTAGGTTTGCTCCAGAGTCTCTGTCCTCTCACATGACAGGCGAATTATACAGAGTGGGTCTGGAAGTCTGGAGGTAGATGTGAATCAGATGCATTGATTGAGGAGGCATTGAGAGGGCAAGGGTATTCCCTTTTTTGATTTTTGAAACAGGATCTTGTATACAACTAACCCAGCTGACCTTGAACTCACTACGTGTGATAATTACTGATCATCTTGCCTCTGCTTTTCAAGTACTGGGATTATAGGTGTGTTCTACCATACCTGGTATTTGTGGTGCTGGCTACTGAACCCAGGGCTTTGTGCATACTAGGCAAATGCTCTACCAACTCAGCTACACCCCAGCCTAGGAAAGCTGTTCTTATTTGTAGATGTTGATTTGAAGCCTAGACAGTCTTATGTGGAGGCTCTGCAGCCCAGGAGAAGCTATTCAGATGGGGTAGGCTCAGGCTGATACCCCAGATTCTGGGGTTCACATGCCCAAATGGAAGCTGCTTTGACCTGGTCCAGGGCCCAGTTTCTCTAGGTAGCCTCTCCAGGCAGGACTCCTACTCTTCCAGTGTTTTCCTCTCTGGTATCGTCATTCTCCCAGTACTGGTACTTGTGAATCTGCTGCTGTCTCTTGTGAATGGTGTGCACAAGCATGCATACAGACTACTTGATGTACATGGGACTAGAGACCATGTTGCTGGGCCTCCTCAGTTTGGGGTTGCTCCATGAGATGGAGAGGCAGATTTCAGAGGGTGTCATCCTTGGTCCAGCCTCTTCTGGTCTGTAGCACCGGCCCAGTCTTTGGGCCCTGTGCTGCACTGCCATTCTGTGTCTTAATGAGAAATGATACCTGGATTGGGTTGCAGAATCCAAGTGTGTATATCATTTGGTCCTAACCACTGTCTCTGGTAGGAGGCGGTGTCTCCCTTTTATAAACACAGGAAACAAACAAAGCAAAGCAGAACACTTTAGGGCTCACAGAGGTAAAGAGTCAACCAAACCAAAAGGAGTTCTAAGACTTCGCGGTTTCATTTACCTGAGTTTGGTGAGGAAGTCAGAGCTCTGAAGAAGGGTGTGTCGGAGGCAGCAGCTGCTGGGTGGGGGAGGAGGGCCTTGTGACTGCCTTTAGAAGCGGGACTGCGCATAACTGCTGGGAAAGCTCTTAATTAAATGTGTAACAAAATAAAAGCGACCAGAGAGAAAAGGTAAGCAGTGCGGCGTGACTGTGCACTGCTTATTGGTGTTCTGGAGCCTTGGTGGGGCTGTCAGTGGCTCTCAGCAGAGCCCCTGTACTGTGCGCCTGGAAAGGCTGCTGCTGAGCCTGACAAGGCTCTGTGAAATTGACACTCATAACTTGTTAGTATGTGGCTGACTTGGTATTTTGACATCCAGATTTAACTAAGTCTAAGGAATTCAACCAGTGTTTTCATTTCACAACTCTCGTTTCGGGAAGCCACAGCTCCTCCTCCTTGCTGTTGTTCCTCCAGCCCCCAAAGCTGCTTCACATCACCGTTGTTGGGAGAGGTCTGATTAGTGCAGCACTGAGAAATGGGAACTGAAGTGGCTGTAGAAATCCCACCAGAGCAAAGAAATCTGCTCTCGTCCTGACAAAATCGTTTCATGTCCATCTTTCTTCAGAGTTGGATGAGCCGATGGTCTGGGTTTGTGGGGCTTGAGGCTGTAGCCACAGCTACCGATATGGTGAGTTTTAGGTAGGGAGTGTGGGTTTCATTTTCTTCTCTACTTATTTTGTTTTACTTTATTATTTTGGTATTTTGAGACAGGGTTTCTCTGATTGTCCTAGAACTCGCTCTGTAGATCAGGCTGGCCTCGATCTCAGAGATCCACTTGCCTCTGCCTCCCAAAGTGCTGGTGTTAAAGGCATGTACCACTACCACCTGGCTTAAATTTTCTTCTATATGTTTTATAGAAAAGATACTTAATAGGGTTTAGTTTAACTCCCCGCCCATCACAACTGACCTCTCCTCATTTTACCTGTTGTTCCTTAAAGAAACCCCAAGGGGTTTCTTGTTCCTTTGCTTAACCAGGTGGGGAGTGTCCAACCTTGGGGTGGTAGACAGGTAAAGTTTATGGATGCTGAGGAGTGAGACTTGCATGGCTAGCCATTTGAAGAACTTGAGTTCTAGCCTGTGGCCTGAAGCTCCAGGCTTACCAGCTGAATACAATGTGTTTGAGAAGTAGACCAGTGGCTTCATAGGTGGGCTTTTGATCTAAGAAGAAGGTCAAACGAGGGAGGCAAGACTGGAGGTAAAGCTGGCAAGAGGGAGGCACAGGCCTCAGTATAATGTGCAAGGACGCCCATTTTGGATAATCGAGCGCTATCCTGAATACAGGAGGGGCTGGGACCTGCTTGTGGTTGGTTCAGAGGACCTTCATGGATAATCAGCTCACCTTTAGTGTAGGAAGGTCTCCCGCTCCCACTACATCTAAATGCAGAGCTGGCACTGAATGTTCTTTGTTTCTCCCCTTGACTTCTGGGATGTCCATGCTGTGCGTGCCCTGTGCCTGTACTCTGCAGAGATGGACCTAGAGCACCTGAGGGCTAAGAAAGTCTGGAGAGTGAAGGGACCTTGCTCACTGTTTGCTGCTCACTGCTGGTGTGGAGAGTGTGCACTGGGCTGCAGTCAAGTTGAAGAGCAAGACTGCTGGTACCTACAGTGAAGTGATTCAGTGGGCTAGTAGTTCTCCTAAGGTGCTAGCAGTGGGTCAGGTGCGGCCTCTAGCTCATTCGGTAGAGCTAATCTTGTCATCTTGACAGGATAGTCTTTAACTTTGTGTCTTCTGATTCCTTGGCTTCTCCTCCTTAGTCGCTTTTGCATTTCACTCTTTTAGGTTTTTCATAAGTTTGGTGTTTTTATTCTTGAGACAGGGTGTCTCTGTGTGGCCCTGACTGTCCACAAACTTACTTCGTAGACTGCCTGGTATTGAACTCACAAAACTCTCCCTCCCCGGGGAGGACTGGAATTAAAGGTGTGTTCTACCAGTGTTGGTGTTTCTAAAATATTGGTGCTGTTTTGATCCCTGTCCTGTCTTGCATTTTCCTTCATTCTTGCTTTCATCGGAGTAATCTTGCCTTTTGCTAGAGCTTCACCTGTTTGTGCACTGAGCTCTCCAGTCTTTTTTACAAGAGAAGTGAGAACCAACATGATCCTTCTGGAGACGAGAGATCTGCTCCATCAGCCCCTTGAATGTCAAGCCTTGTACCCAGATACGTCTTATCCCTCCACAGGCCCAGAACTCTGTCTGTGCCTTCCTCCCCACAAGCCCTCCCTGAATGCCTGGTGGCCATCACTCAGCTACCTTGTCAGAAACCTGAGAACCACCCTTTGCCTTACCACAACTGGTTAGTCTTCTGTTGACCACACTTCCAGAGGCTCCTCCAAGTGGTTTGTTCCAGGATCTGACTCCAGTGAAGTCACACCTCTGCTTCATCCTACCAAGGCACCCTTACCCTCAATGTCAAGCTGCATTGCTGGGACCTTCAAGGCTCTGCACCCTCCCACTTTCATGTTTACTTATTTTTTACTGTTTACTGATTCCTTCATGACATTTTATTGCAGCCGTCTCTACTTGTCTGTTTCATAGATTGTAAACACTTATAATCCTCAGACAAAACT